ATAATATGAAGTTATATATTATTAGGTGCAAAGATCAGTGGCAGGTACAGTAAGTGCCTCAAGGATTTAGAGAAAGAAGCAGATGTGGCCTGGAGTGATCAGGCAAGACTTCAAGGAAAAAGAGAAATTTGAGCTAGGTCTCAAAGAATGGGTATGATTTAAATATGTGGAGAGAAGTGGGATGGTATTCTGGGAAAGAGGGAGACAGTGAATAAAAATAGTTAGGGCAGTGAAGGGGCAGACCCCACAAAGCAGGTCAGCTGGACCTCAAGGTTCCAGACCCTGAGACAGTTCACTGTGCTAACAGGCCACCATTGCTTTCTCCTAAATGCTGCAAACATTCAGGTTACTGAGTGTAGGCCAGTAAGGTTTAGAGCTGGAAGGTGAGTTAGAGACTATTTCCTCATAGCTACCATTTGCTATGGCGATTAAAGGTTTTACAATTCTACAGTTCTTTACACACATGATTTCATTTGATCCTCAACAACAAACCTGTGATATGGGTGCTATTATTAGCCCCATTTTATATATGAGGAAATTGAGGCCAAGCGAGGTGGATTTTCTCAAGTAATTGACAGCTAGTACTCTTTTTGAGCTAGAATTGGAACTTGGGTCTTCCTGATTACAGGTCCAACTCTCCAGCCACCTACAGATGAGGAAACTGATGCCCAGAGGTGGAAAGTTATTTGCCTGAGGTCACTTGTTTAGTAAGTAGCAGAGCTGGAATGGCACCAGGCAAACAGTTGGTGGTCCTCAGGGAATAATCAGAGCTCGCTCTAACTTCCCCAGGTTAATTCTACGGACAGTCAATATGTCAATATTCTTATTCAAGTAGCAGAATCTCCTCATCTCTTCCCTACCTTATTCTTAGTATCTGTCCCCAACTTCAAAACCAAGGTATATCTAGGAATTTTTATGCCTATGCAACCACCATAAACTGTGCTCCAGGCAAGCAGATTACTTAAGTGTATCATCAGTCAAGGAATGTTGCCATGCACCAGGGCCTCTGCCATGAGGCTACAGTCAGGCAGAGGGGAAGAGAGGGATCTGGAGCAGAGGAGTGAGACACAGAACTGAACAGGGAGACACTCACCCCCACCTGCTATTTTGGCCCATTATTCTGGCTATGTGCTCAGCTGGATTCTGCCAGAGTACCAAGCACCATCGACACCCTCTAGATCTGGCATCTTGAGAGCAGCCCAGTTTAACTCTAGCTCTGGTTATGGTTCTGCTTCAGAGAGGGTCACGGACTCATTGAATTGCGGATTTGGAAGGCTCTCTCTACAGGACATCTTGTCTAACCTCTAGCTCAGGAAGTCACTCTAATATTCCCGACAAGGTGACATCCCACTTCTACTTACATGCTTTTAGTGAAGATCTTTCCATTGTTGGTTACTTCTGTTAGAAGAATTGCTCAATTAAGCCAGAATCTGCCTCCCTATAACTTTTACTCATTGGCACCAGGGCTGACTTCCAGTGCAACACAGAATAAGTCCAATGACTCTAGTATTATGTATTTAGATTTAGAGCTGGAAGGGACCTCAGAGGTCATCTGGTCTAACCCCTTCATTTTGCAGATGAGAAAACTGAGACCCAGAGAGGGGAAATGATTTGGCCAAGGTTATGCAGATATTGATTTAATAGCAAACCCAGAATTCTATGACTGACTCTAAATCTGGTGCTCATTCTCCTGTGCCATGCTGCCTCTTACTATGTCTATAAATATTTAAGGATAACTACCATGCCATTGGCACAATGGATAGAGTACTGGGCTGGGAATCAGGAAAATTCATCTTCCTGAGTTCAAATCCAGCCTCAAATATTTACTTGCTGTGTGACCCTGGACAAGTCACTTAACCCTGTTTACCTCAGTTTCTTCTTCTGTAAAATGAGCTGGGAAAGGAAATGGCAAACCGCTTCAGGATCTCTGCCAAGAAAACCCCAAATAGAGTCACGAAGAGTCTGTGACTCAGCAACAAAACTACGCCATCCCTTTCCCCCTCCACCAAGTCTCTTTTCTAGGATCCTTTATTTTTTTAATTCTTCTTTTTATGTCTCTAGACCCCTAGCCATCCTGGTTCTTTCTCATCCTCTACTGCACTCTACTTTGTTATCAACATCAGTCCTTTCTGAGCTATTGCCCTCAGCTGACCTAGCCTTCCCCAGGGACCATTGGCTTGTGTAAGAGAGCTCTGTGGCAAATCCCCTCAAATTAACTATGGGATTAAGGTTAAATTTGCAAGAGGTATTCCCCAAGGGGCTGCTCTGACTACATCATAGGTAAGCCTAGCCTCTCTGCCACCCCTTCTTTATATGACCTGATCCTGCTTAAACAGATCTCTCCAGGGAAAGCAAATGAGAAAAACTAGTCCCACAAATGAGGGGTTGGGGGTAGGGGGAAGACGGGGAACTGAACGGATGAAGATGAAGCTCCTGCACAGGTGTTAGCAATCTCTTGCCAAGAATTGAGAATGAGTTTAAAAAAAAAAAAACCTTTGCCTCTCCCAACCTATTAAAATGGTTACACTCCCTCTTGACTGGAAGGAAAAGAAAGCTGAAATCAAGAAACCAGTTTGGTAGAAAAAGATCAATGCCTTCCTTCCTTCAGTTCCACAGCCATCCTGAATCTCCAGTACTGTCTGGTTCCTCTGATTCAAGCATTTAAGACAGAGACGTCAAGTCATACATTAACTCTGTTAGTGTTAGAGTTAGACTGTTTACATGTTTGGCATAGTATTAGAAGAGGAAGGGGATATTTTTGGTCCTTATCCAGAAAGTATCTGAAATTTCACCATTAGAGATTCATTCCTTTGGCATTTATTTTTCAAGGATCCCCCATTAAAATGCAAATACCCACAGGTGGAGTTAAGACCTTTCACTTTATCTCAGTTGAAGTGAGAGTGAGGGCAGATTGAGGTGAGAGGACCAGAGGAAAGATAAGAATGTGGTAAAGAGAGGAACCTTATCATACATTTTTGCTTAAAGTCTTTGTAGACATGGTAACATATATGTCTACATGTCCTGTGGACTATTTGTATCCTAGGTAAGTAATGGGTGTGTGGATATCTCTCTATGGACTTTACCTTTTAATCCTAAACACAAGATTCCTATGCTACAAAAGAAAAGTTCCCTCCCCCACACCTACTCCCCACCGAGTCCTGGTATCTGAAACCTAATCTCCTTTTTGACTCATTCATTCTCAGGATTGGCAGAAAAAGCTTTCTTACCTACCAAGCTTAAGCCAAGAATCTGACCAAAAAAAAAAAAAAGAGTTTTCTTCTGGGTCCCTACTGAGACAAATGGGATTACTGGGAGAATGTGGTCTCCATTTCCTCTGGGCCCCACTACTGCCATGATCTGGACTTCTATAAAATTCTCACAAATCAAATACTGGTAGCCCTTGGCTTTTTTGCCAGTGTTCTCTCAGTATTTCCCAAGCATCAGAGTGGCACCCTACTAAGACCACCCTCGTCAACACTTTGCAGGTGTACAAACCAAAAATCCAAGAGTGAGGTAGGGTCTTTAACATATCCTAATGTCAAATCCAATAACTATTCCCTGGGTAGCCACCATCCTTTCTAATAAATAAGGATGTTTGTGGGGATAAAAGAGGGATATGGGGGAGACCAGGTCAAGAAGATGCCCTTGCTACATTCTGTTTAGTCCAGGACAGAATATAAAGCTGGGTTTTGTTTTTTTTTTTAGCTCATCAGATCATAGATTTTTAGTTGGAAAAGATCAAGAGATCAGCTAGTTCAGGAATTCTTCACCTTTTTGGTGTCAGTCTGGTAAAGCCTATGGACCCCTTCTCAGAGTAATGTTGTTAAATACATAAAATAAAATACATAGCATTGCAAAGGAAGCCAATGATGGTCAAACAAAGATGTCATTTTCTCTATTCAAATTCATAGATCCCCTGAAATCTATCCACAGAACCCTTGTCCATGGACCCTAATCCTGACCTGGTCAAATTAGAGATCACCTAGTCTAAGTCGATCATTTTGACCCAGAGATGTGAAGTAATTTGGCATGGGTGACCCAAAGTAGCATAGCCAGAATCAAATCTGGGTCCTTTGAATCCAAAATTTGCTGCCCACCCCGCCCCCCGCCCCCAGTATTTTAAATACTGTTATGTCCTGAAGTTTCAGACTATGCAAATTCTTCCATTCCCCAGGAATTTTTCCAGGTACAGTAGGTAAGTAAGTATCTTGGTTCTATCAGACACAAGGCAAGGTTTGCTGTCAAAGAAAGAACATTCGTAAAGGGCAGTGAGAGGTTGAAAATTAGTTCAGGGGCAGCTAGGTGGCACAGTGGACAGAGCTCTGGCCTTGGAGTCAGGAGGACATGAGTTCAAATCCAATCTCAGACACATGACAGTTCCTAGTTGTGTGACCCTGGGCAAGTCACTTAACCCCAATTGCCTCACCAAAAAAGCAAAAAGAAAAAAAAAGTCATTTCTTTAGGGGCAGCTAGGTGGCGCAGTGGATAGAGCACCGGCCCTGAAATCCGGCCTCAGACCAAACACTTGACACTTACTAGTTGTGTGACCCTGGGCAAATCACTTAACCCCAATTGCCTAAAAATAACAAACAAACAAACGAAAATTAGTTCAACATTGTTTCCCTGCCTCTTCTGCCTCTGCTCTTATTTTAGCCAACCATTTTTCACTATTCCTCCTTCACAATGAAACTAGACCCTGGAACTAAGATCCCAGTGAGGTCCCCCCAGTTTAAATCTTGAAGGTATGTGGAACGTGGATTATGGGAATGAGGGGGACAGAGTTGGGCATTTGTGCCTTCTGAGCCTCCTTCTGAGCCCAGAATATTTGCCTTGTGCTGAAGGCTTTTAAAGGGTGTTGCTTAAGCCAAATGTGGAGGTGGAGGGGTTGTCCCAAACTCAGGAAGGGAGATTTTCCAAGTACAGTCAGAGATTTCAATAGAGATTGAACCAGAGAAGGATTTGTCGGTTGCCTAGAAGGCAAATCCTGTGTTTTTACTTACTTGGATACCGGTAGTAGAAGTCATTCTCTATGTCGCTGGAAATGTTACCGTGCCTCTTCTCAATCCAGTGTGCATCAGCCTCAGGATCATAGCGCACGAACACCCCAAAAAGGACCACCATGACCACCTGTAAGATGAAACAGGTGAGTGGCAGTCGCCACCGAAGGTTAGTATTCCATGCCATCTTGGGTGACTTCCCTAGCTACTGTCCTGGTAGCCCAGCCACAGGCACCCAGAAGAGGATGAGCAGCTGAGTATCAAGACCGGGGAAGCCTTGGTGCTCTGGTGGCTTTGAGGGAAAAGAAGATCTTATAACTCAGGAACAGGGGGTGTGGCCAACGAGGGCAGGGATCACATTGCAGAGCAACTAAGCAAGGTTATGAACTGGCATGTTCTGCCTCTTGTTCAGAGAGATGGGGCTACTGGGTACCAGTATGTGGGCTATTCTTAGTGGGAGACAGAGGTCACACTAGGAGCCCTCAACATCTGACCTTGTTAAGGTGCTGCTAACATAGGATAGGGGGGCTTCAAAGATTCCATCTGTCTTTAGAAGGGAGAAGTCTTCTACATTTGGCCACTGGTCTCCCACCTTACAGTGAAAAGAGGAAGAGAAAGGTCAAGAGGTCCCAACTAAAGAACTGTTAGTACTGGGAGTGGGAAGATGTGAGAGAGAAATGACCACCTTTACTCATCATATTTTCAGTGGCAACCAGGTAAGGGGGAGATTTGAGATTGATTCTGACTTGGTAAGGAAGAGAAGAGAGTAAATACAGATCTTAGGGTTTCTTTGGATGTCATATCTGGTCTATTAAATTTTTTTTCCTAGTAGAAATGTAAAGAGTGGCATGTGCCAACCACTGGGATAGAGAGAAGGGGAATCCTACATTCTTTTTCCTCCAGTATCAATGCCCTGGATAAAATGTGAGTCTGAGCAATTCATCAGGGTTTGGGTGCAAAAAGCCTTCATTCAGTTCTGCACCCCAATGCTGCAATCACCTACACTGTCAGAAGTGCTTCATGGGTTCCTACTTCAGGACAAAGTGAGTAATACAAGGATGATGGGCCTGTTGGGGAAAAATTCAAGTCAGAACATGGCCCTCCTATCCTTGTTTATGCTAGAATTGTCTGACTCCCTTCAGCTCAGCCCTTTTCACTTCTCCACAATCATCACAGAGCTGTAGCTACACCTGGCAGGGTTTTGATTTTTGTTTTTGTTTCCCCCTTACAAGGGCATAGTCTCACAGGGAGGGAAATATAACTTCAGGAGGTCCCCCACTCACTCAATTCAGATAATAAACAGTCCCTAATCCCTAAACCTAGCCTGAGGAAGTCACCCAACCAAAAATAGTGCACCACTGCTGCCTCTTTTATTACCAGGGACCAAACTACCACAAACTAAAAGAAATAATCTTATGCATTTCCATTAGTGGACAGCACAAATTGTTAGCAACTTCTTCCTAAGAACGAGTTCATATTTGCCTTCTCTAATTTCTATCCATTGATCCTTATGGCTCTAGAGTCACGCAGGATGTCTACTTCCTTTCAAATTCAAAAGATTCTAGGCTAGAATCTCTGCCATGAACCAGCCTTGTGGCTCAGACAAACCTCTGGGTCTCAGTTTCCTTCTCTGCAAAGTGAGGGGATGGGACTGAATGATCTTAAGTCCCTTCCAGGTCAAACCTTCCATGACTCCAGGGAGCCTGACCTCTGAATACCCTCTTCATCTTTATCCTTTAGAGTTTCACTTCAGTTCAGAATAATAATTGCTTAATAGGAGCAACCCCACACCTCTATGCCTTCAACCTTCCTTCTCCCAGGACTTGGGCTGTTCCTAAACTAGCCTGAAATCAGTTCAGCTAATATTTATGAAGTGCCTGCTGTGGGGAGAGCTCGGTGTGACATCGAAAATTTAGCTAAGATACAATCTTCGTCTTTATGAAGCTTACAATCTAGGAGAAAATTGTGGCTGACATTTGTATCATGCATTACAGTTTTTGTTGTTTAATTTTTGGACAATCAGTGATTTCATTGATACAGGAAACTCCCAATAATCTCCCTACCAGTACAGAGGGTACCTACTCTACAAACTATAAACTTGGAGAGTTGCCAGGGGGCACTGAGGATTTAAGTGACTTGCCCAAAGGCAGATCTCAAACCCGGGTCTTCCTGACTCTGGAGCCAGCTCTCCATGCACAATGACATGATAATTGTGTTATGGTTTACAAACTGCTTTATGTGTATCGTTTCATTTGACAGCCTTCTCCCAGTGATGCTAGATAGCTGTAAATCATGGAACTCCATGGCATCAGGAGAAGCGTGATTACAGGTAAAGCAACATGCAATGGAATGAGCCTGTCGAGTGCAAATGGGATAGTCAGTTTATAAGCAACCATAGCTGTATCTGAGAAATGACACCGAAGACATCATGGTGGGGACATGAATAACTAGAAAAAAGGAAGGTCTGGTTATGTATTAAGAGGCAGAGATAGCAGACATCCTAGGTATAACATTGGTACCCTCAAGGTAGTAAAATAACTAGAGGAAGGCCTCCATTGTGTGGGGAGATTCCTATAGGGGAAATTTGTGGAAAGACGGGCAAGAATTTCTTGCTGGGGAGCAGACTCTCTGGGAGTCACAGTCTTATCCGAACACATCCATCCAGTCCTGAGAATCCAGATGAAAGCAGTTATTACTATATAGGAGGTTGGCTCTCCGTATAGGATGCCACTTATAGGATACTGGCCCTCAGTCTGTGAAAAATGATATATCTCTCCTAGAGGGAGTTTATTCCATAAACACACTGTCCTAGGTCTTTCAAGTTACATAATGTTTAAACTTTCCTTATGCTTTTAAAACTTTTCCATTCCAGCTCCCCAATCACATTTTTGTGACTCTTGATAGCCTAGACCTTCATGACCAATCATTCTAACTAAGCTCTCAGTTATCCCTTCTAGGAACCAGTCAACCAGATAATTTATTAAGCATCTACTAAATGCCTACTCTTGTTTTAGGACCTGTGGGAAATACAAAAACGTAAAAGACATGGCCCCTACTATGGAAAGAGCTTACAGTCTATTAGAGACCACCATCTTGGTTCAAGCCTTTATCACCTGTCAGCTGGACTATTATAAGAGCCTCTGAATTGACCTCCCAGCTTCATGTCTCTCCAGACAATTACACATAAGTGAACTCATCCTGTAAGGTGCTATGAGACTGCGGAAGATGCCAATTCTTTAGGAAACTCTGCTGCTCTGATTTACTTAACAAATTAAAGGTGTGTTGAAAGAGTCTGTGGCTTTCACTTCCTGCTCATTTGCCTCAAGTCTATGTGTTATCACTATGGCTTGCTGAATAACTGGATATAAAGATTATTCACAGCAAGCAGAGAAACAGGGCAGTGCTCATGCTTTGGCAACTTAGAGCCGGGGATGCGAGTGGGGAGAAAAACTGAGCCAGAGATGAATCAAAAAAGGAATTGTTCACCTTTCCTGTTACCAGCACTGCTGCTGTGAGACTGGGCTTCCCCCAAACCAGCAGTCATTGCACTATTTACCCTGGGACAATCACTGTCTGACTTCATTTTATTCTCCCTGCCTACTCCATTTAAACTACACACAGTCAGAGCTAGTATAGTGTGGTGGAGAGAAAGATCACTTGGCAAAGGATCCTTAGTATTTTGACCCAGGTCCCAAGTTATTCCTACCATGACTAGGGTACCTAGTGTCTGTTCTGGCTCTATTTTTTCTGAATTCTATCAATTTAAATGGAAGTATATATGGAGATACCAACCAGACATCCCACATTTTCCAGGACAGTCAAAATTTCAAGAAAAGAGAGTGCACACTTAATGAAGTTTTGCAAAAGGGATGCCCTTTAGCAGAACGTAGTTCCAGTTTTAAATCTGGTAAATATGGACACCATAATTATGGGACTACAGTTTCATCCCAGGAGGCCTTCTCTTCTCCTTCTATATGATTTCCTTTGATGATTTCATCACTTCCCATGGATTCAATTATCATCTCTATTCTGATGATTATCGGATCTACTTATTCAGCCCTGACCTCTTTCCTAACCTCCAGACTCCTACCACCTGTCGGTCATCTTCAACTGGATGTCTTATAGACATCTTAAGCTCAAGATGTATGAAACTGAACTCATTATCTTTTCCCCAAATCCAACCATCCTCCTAATTTCCTATTACTATTGAGGATACCATCATCCTCCCAGTCACCTAGGTTTACACTCTAGTTGTACTCTTGCTCCCCATATTCAATCTGTTGCCAAATCCTATCATAACCTAGCCCCCTCCTACCTTTCTAGTCTTCATCTCCCACCTTGGGATCCAGTGACACTGGCCTTCTTGTTGTTCTTCAAACTAGACACTCCATCTCCTCCATTCAGTGTATTTCTTCTGGAGGTCTATCATGCCTAGAATTCTCTCGCATCTCCTTTTACCTCCTGGCTTCCCTGGCTTTCTTCAAGTCCCAACTAAAGCCCTACCTTCTACAAGAGGTAATGCCTCTTTCTGATGCCTCTTAATGCTAGTACCTTCTCTCTGACATTACCTGTAATTTATCCGGTATGTGTTTGGTTCATATATAGTTGTTTGTATGGTGTTTTCGCCATTAGACTGTGAGTGACTTGAAAGCCAGGACTATATTTTGCTTTTCTTTATATCACTATCACTTAGCATATAGTAGGTGCTTAATAAATGCTTATTGACTAACTAGAGCTTCTGAAGAGGACCTGACTACCTTGATGTATCTCCATCACTCTAGTGTTTACCTCCCAGGATGCTTCCTTTCCTCCCCCATAGCTGATCTTTATACTACTGTGGAGTTTATCACCCAGCCTAGCTTCAGGATGTTATTGACTCAAAGGAGGTATAATAGGGATAAAGAAATAGGACTAGCATATCCCTCCAGCTCCTTCTTCCCAAAGTGGAGTTTGGGGTGGACTGAGTTGGAGTTTCCCAAATAATGATGTGGGGCAGAGACCAGAGGTATACTGGCTCCTGTCTAACACATAGAAACTGTAGGCAACATTACAATATGTCTGGCAGGATGGTGATACCATGTAGTAAATGCTGAGTAAGTATTTGTGAATTAGGAAGTAAAATATGCATAATTACTAAAATATACATAAAAATCATAGGATTTAACATTAGAAGGGATCTTAGAAATCATTTTTTTTAAATGAGGAAACTGAGGCCAAGAGAGATGAAGTGACTTACTCAAGGAAGGAAGTAGCAGAGCCAGGATCTGGACCCGGCTCTTGTGACTTCTGAACCAGGGTTTTTTCT